GTCTTGGCTGGCCCTGGGAAGGTCAGGGAGCAAATTGTACTTTACTGGTTTAGCTCCAGTGTTTCTCTTGACACATTTCTTTCCTTCTCTAGACCATGCTGCCTGTTGGTTGTGTGCGGATCATCCCCTACAGTGACCAGTATGAAGAGGCATATCGCTGTAACTTCCTAGGGCTTAGCCCACACGTCCAAATCCCGTCCCACATCCTGTCATCTGGTAAGAACCTGTTGCAGAACCCTCTCGTTTCCCTACCATCTGATGTTAAAGGACACAAGAATTTGTTATTTTGGGTTTTTTTTAATTAAGTATTAGCACATAGGCTAACAGTGCTGCATGAACTAAAACCTGTACCGCTTCATTTTGTTTTCCCCGGATCCTTGCCTGATCAGTATTGAAAGGTGTGACACCCGCTTTAAGCGCTGACAGTCCTGGTTCCTATTGAGGACAGGTTAATGCTGGGTCAAATATTGTAAGCTGACAGAGCTGTGCTTTCTCGGAGCAGGGTGTGTAGCTGTATTTGAGAATCTGGGCTACAGTTAATGTTCTTTTGTGCTCTTGTTGCTCTAGAGTTTGCAGTCCTTGTGGAAGTTCGCACTGCTACCCGCTCCAGTCTCTACCCAACTCTGTTTGATGATGAGCAGTCCCTCAACAAGTACGAGTTTGTTGTCACCAGTGGTAGCCCTGTTGCAGCAGATCGAGGTGGGTGATTTGAAAGCAGAAAGAACCTGTATCGCTGAGATTAAAAGAGTATCTTGATCTTTAACTATTTTTTTTATGCTGTTCATATACTGGCCCTTAAGTCTGAGTAGAAGCCAGGTCAGTATACGACGGGGGTATTGCTGTTTGAGGTGAGGTTTACCACAGTCTGTTGAATTATAAAGGATTTGCTTTACCAGATCAGCATTTTGCTTATTAATTTTCAGAAATGAGAAACGAATCCTGTGACGTGTATAGTAGCAATTATAGGGAAGTTCTTCTGTAACCCACAATGAACGTTTTCTATCCTGGAATAGTTCTGTGTTTATTTTGAGTAAGTCTAGCCTATAAGGACCATGATGTTACTCATCTCCCGTGTTCCACTTGATCGATGAGTATGACTGATACAGAAATGCCCAGTGGTTTTTTCTTTGCCTACTTTGTTCACAGACTTGAGCACTTGCACCTAGATGTGATCTGAGTCAGGTCCATCAGTCTCGTGTTTTCTGAAAAGTCTTAATTTAGATGAATTAGCCTCGTTGACTGTCTCAGAAGACTCGTCAGATAGCTAAATCCTTCCTGCTCTGTCCTCTGAAGATACAGGTGCAATACAAAGCAGAGACTTACTCCCTCTGTAGAGTTCTTCCTGTGCTCCAGCAGCTGTTGTAGGTCCCACACGTATAATTACAGTAGTCTGCTTTGTGTCCAACCAGTGGCACGTCCAGAATCTTCTGGACAAAAATAGTCATTGAAAAGTCTTTTCTCTGTCGCAGCATCAAACTTACTAGGCCATGGACTACTGGGAATAAAAGCCTCCTAGGGAATTCCAAAAAGTGGTCCAGGAGAGGAATGCCTTGGGTTGCTTGTTGGTTAGTTTTTTTACTAAGTATCCTGGAACTGCCCGTAAGAAGAGAAACGTTAAATCAAGAGTAAGTGGAGACTTTAAAATTGAGGGGTTATATTTTTATATGTATTTATATTGTACAATGCATAAAGCTTTTTAATAACTTCGCATTTTTCAATGAGCTTTTGCTATGGAACTAGAAACAACAAAATCTAAACAACAGTTTAAAAGTGGGTCTGAAGAAAACAAAGGCCCCTGAACCTGTGTGCGTGTCGCAGGATCCTTCAAAAAATTCCATGCTGCTTCTTGGATCAGATGTTTTTCTAGCGGGATGAGCTTTAGCTCCTCTTCCATGGAAATGAAATCACGGCGGGCTGCTGGGGAGTATATTTTTCCACCTTGCAGAATAGGTAGGTTTCTTCCTGGCTCGAGGAAGATTATTATCTGTGAGCTAATCAAGCCTGATTCTGTTGAAATTGGCTGTGCTGTTATTAATAGTGTAGCTTTCTGCAGATGGAGGAAGCTGCATGAATGCACCAGACCAAAGTACCGGTAAAAAATGAGTGCAGACTAGGGCTCTTGAAAGGAGGAAGAGGTAGAACAAATGTGTATTCTTGTCTGTAATTCCAGCAGGTATTCAGGGCCAGGTCCCTGAATAAATGGACTCGTCCTCGCTAACAATTACTAGTACGGGTGTAAGCGGGTAACCTATAGCTTGCGTGTCTTCATTCTCGCTCTTTTTTCCCTCTTTCTCATCCTGTAGTTGGCCCTACAATCTTGAACAAGATCGAAGCTGCCCTGACCAACCAGAACCTTTCTGTAGATGTTGTGGATCAGTGCCTTGTTTGCCTAAAGGAAGAGTGGATGAAGTAAGTACGACAGCTTTGCTTTCAGAGAAGGGGTTTTGGCACTAATCCTGGAACAGTTACAGCAGGGTGCAGGCCAAACTTGTAGTTGGGTAGCTCCTGCTGTAGTATTGATGCTAGATGGCTTTACTGTTGGGAGCAAAGAGTATCAGAGTTGTTGTACCCTGGTCCTAACTCTCTTTTTGGCTTTCAGCAGTTCTTAACTTTTATGCCTCAGCTCATGCATCTGTAGGTTACCTGCGTGACAATACTTGTCTGCCTTATATACGTTATGAGGATTAAGTATGCAAATATATATATATATTCCTGTCAATATGCGGTATATTCCAGTGCAGATAACATGCCAAGCAGATGTCACGATTGCGCCTTCAGGCACTACGTTTCAAGGTGCAAGTAGTTATAAAGGAAGACCGGGCAGTCATGTGAAATAATTCATGGAACATTAAATTTTGTGAATTTACCTGAAGGCCAGATGGGCGCTAGATGTGTCCCCCCGGGAGGCTCCCAGTTGTCACAATTAATTGTTTTACTTTGCGCTGGAATGAAAAACCAGACTAGAATTACGCATATCACTACTGAAAATGCTACCTAATCCATCCCCCCTTTTCTTGTACTCTTCTTCCCGCCACATTCATTCAAAACATGAGAATGGTTTCCATGGAATGGAAAGCTTTTTTTTTTTTTTTTTTTTTTTTTTTTAAAGCTTTTATTAACGTTTCATTGCAGTAGGTACCGAGAGAAGCTACAATTTCTGCTCGTTCCCTGCTTGATGCAAGTCCATTGTAATAGTGACAGGAGTCTCTTGTTTCTGCAGTAAAGTGAAGGTCCTCTTTAAATTCACTAAAGTGGACAGCAGACCCAAGGAGGATACCCAAAAGCTGCTGAGCATTCTGGGAGCTGCAGAGGAGGACAACGTCAAGCTGCTCAAGTTCTGGATGACTGGCCTGAGCAAGACGTACAAGTCCCACCTGATGTCAACAGTTCGCAGCCCAACCTCCTCAGAGTCCCGGAACTAAAGGGTGCTCAACCTCACTTGCTGCCTTCGGATAATCGCAGGGAACCCCAAGTTACCACTGCCGAGCCTGCAGCATGTGCGTTAGGCGGGTGGTGAAACTTCATCGCTATTCTTCTGGTCCTCAAACTAACTTGAAGAGTTGACTCGAGTCTTTTCTAATTGCTGTGAGACTGGACTAATTACGTGCTAATAAATAGTGCTGCTGTCTGTCCTGAAACTCAACTCTAAGTCTAGACCTCCACGCTCAAGACTAAAATACAGCGACACTCAAAGAAGCAGCGTGAATTAATGAAAGCCCCGTACTGTTCTCGTTAAGCATTATGCTGTGGCAGTAGACCTCCATTTTAGATTTCATTGGCAAGGCTCGGATACCTGTGACAACATCGAGAACTCCTGCGAGCGGATACAGTTAATCTCTCTGAATCCCACACAAATTGCCTCAATGCCTGAGAGAACAAGAACCAAAAATAAGTGACACGTCACAGGGTATGGATCACGTGTAAATTATTTCAAACCACTTTATGCTCGGATTTAAGAAGAGACTATTTTCTGCTGTAGCATAAGTCAGGGTATCCTATTGGAGTCCTGTCACTCCACGTTATTTATTTATATCTTAACTTGAGACGGTTTCAGCATTTGCTTTGGAAATCTTGTCTGGGAGGGAAAATTGTAATATAAGAAGTATCAAAATGCAGCCTGCTTTGCCTCTCTAGAGGGTAAGATATTCGCCTTGTTTTGCCTGTGGTTGCAAAACTTCCAGGTAACAAAGATAACCTCGCCAGGATAAGGTTGCTGGTGTTCTGTCTTCGGAAACAGTTTTCTAGCTTCCTAATTAAGTTAAGCAGAAACGATCCAACCTGTAGGTGCTCCCTTCTTATATAACTCTATAGTAGCCATTTTTGCTTAATAGTTCATGGAAACATTGGTGCATTTTTTTTAATTACCTAAACAGATACTCCTTATCTGTCTTGTAAGGAATTACTGTTTCTGTTGTGAAGTCTTTTTTTTGTCTTTCCCCCCCGCCCCTGGATCATTGTTGGGAAAACTTGACGTTACTGTAGACATTTTTAACAAGCCAGAGGCAGGTTTTACCAGGTGACCTTCTACACTCATTCAGACAAGACTGGAGCTCAGAGGGGATGTTCCAACTTGTCACGAGTTCTGTTCTCATCTATAAAATATGCAGGTTGATTTTTGTCTGGAACATCTGTAAAATGGCAACAGGCATTAAATCTCATTAAGAGCTATTTTTGTAAAATGGACAAAGCCTGGTTTTGTGTTGATTTTCAACGTGTGCGTGGGGGTTGTTGATCCACAAGGTTATTCCTGCATCTTAGCCTTGATCTAATTTACAGAATTTAACAGGTCTTTTAACTTTGTGTGTATTAGTGTCTTGTACATATGGAGCAAGAGGTGCTCAGATACATTAATTGAAAATGCTTGACTGGACATAAACAACCGCAGGATATTCCAACAGCAAACAGATGCTTGGAAAAAGGCATTGCTCTGTTCCTTCAAAAACCAACCACTTGTTTAACTTCAGGGTTTGCAAAAAGGCTTGCGTTGTCAGTAAGGAAACATGAGACAAAAGAGGTGCTCAAGCTCTACCCACAGGAAAGGAAGCTTTGAATCACACGTGTATCTTGCTTCCGATGTGCTAGGTGCTAGTCGTGAGGGAAGAACGAAGCCCACTGGTAGTGGGACAAAAGCGACAGAAGTAACTAGGAAAGCGCGGACTAGTAAATCCGCATTTCCAGTGCTAGGTCAGTGCTCACTCTTGGGGCTACCTTTTACATGATGGAATACTCTTTATTTTCGTACTTGAAAGCTATTCTGGTCCATTTCAGAGCTGCGTAACACAACAGGTAAGACATTATTTGGCATTTAGACCTTCTTGACTGCTCAGCTGTTTTTATCTTTTTAAAGAATAGCTCTCCCATGACATCCAACATTAAAACCTCGTCTCTAACCCACAGTTCATCTGTAAGCACGCATTAGCAAAGCCTGTGTTTCTGAACAGAAGTGTGGTTTCTTCCAGAACAGAAGAAGGTGGTGACAAGGCCAAGCCTGAGGCTTCATCTTCTTCTTCCTTGCGCTTGTGTAAGCGGTGAGTTGTAGGCAATGTCAATCCGTCTCAGTCCTGATCGGAGAAAGGGCTGTGTCATGGACAACCGGACTCTGGATAACTTTGCATTTTTGAGCTGGGGCAAGGAAATGACTAACTTAACGCTTATAAAATACCCCCAGGATAGAAGGGGGAAGAGTTGCTAAGTTTGTGAACCCAGGGCTCCTGCGTAGCATAAAAAAACCAGACGTGCTTGCCTGCCAGAACAGATCTATACATTGGATTACCAAGTAATTGCCTGGGCAAGTTCCTGCAGCTCGCAGATTAGGCCACGGGTGCTCCTTTTGCCGTCAGCGATAGCTGGAATGTGTACAACTTAATTAACAAAAAAAGCATGTCCGCAGCCATCTTTCACCACCCTCCTTCCCTCTAAACGGTATGCCTTAAAGACAAACTGATTAAAGCAGGATGGTTCTTTATTCCGGTGTGATTTCCTTCTCTGCATGGCTGAGCAGCCTACAGGGGGAAGGGAGGTGGGAGCAGCCCCAGCACCAGTGCCCTGCTCCCCCCCGCCATCCTGGCAGGATCCAGCCTAAAGTATCATAGAATGTTTTGGGTTGGAAGGGACCCCTAGAGGTCATCTAGTCCAAGCCCCCTGCAGGAGCAGGGACACCGCTAACCAGATCAGGTTGCTCACAGCCCCGTCCAACCTGGC